TTTACTTATATAAAATAGTGAGTAATTTAAAATTTTTTATAACATATAACTTATTCAAAATGTTTACAGAACTATTCAGAGCTTATACAATTCAAATCTTTTAAATACATGCCAACTAGACTTTTATACCATAAAATACATTTAAATCATCTATTTTCTGATCAGAAACTTTGTAAGGAAAAATGCTGACCTGACTTACACCTCAATAATCCATAAGCTTGTAAGAACTTGCGTGTGAAACACTCACACGCTAAGTCTATGACTTAGTGAGGCTAATAAATATATAATGTAAACTTTAACTTGTAATCATGCAGGAACAACAATTATTATCATATCATACACATCATATCAAATCATCTCACTCATATGCTTTTCATATAACAATTACATACATATCATCATTTATGTTTTTATCTTGCTCCTATACTATTATACTTCATATCTCTTATTTCTTATTCATATGATCTCTTGCATTCATATTCTATAACTTATAACAAATTCTTATATCATCATATATAAGTCATTTATACTCACTCACATAAACATCAACATATATTCATGTAACAGATACAATAACCCATATCACACATATATCATATCATGCAATTCATATACATATATCACATACATTGATTTCACAATTATCTCTTTATTAGCCCATGTACACATGTGAGAACTGTAGATATGTGAGTCTATTGAGGTTGTGCACTATACTGTCAACACAACTCGTATAATTCCCACTAGGGGCGCGTAGAATTTGTTCCGAAGGACCACGTAAATGTCCTAAAGGACTATATATAACACATATATCCTGAAGGACCACTATGTCCCGAAGGACCGCGTAGACCCTCGACTCTTGGCATACCAACTATACCTCTAGCTCTCCTAACACTTACATGGGCATTCTCTTTTATATCTTTTCACATAGTCATATCTCATATGCTCATAGCTTTTATCATATCATTTCTCATATTCATATAATATTATGATTCACTTTCAAGTATCACATATACACATTCATATCACATGTTCTTATAAACTCATAACTTCTTTCACATGTACCTGTAATCAGGTAGCTTCTTTTCACGTAGTTCATGTCACTTTTCATATCATTCATTTATCACATACATAATCTCTATCATATATACATTTATGCACTTATCTCATAGTTATGTATCATATTACATAATTTAACTTATATCATATTATCATGTGTGCATATATCATGGACAATTAACATGTATCATATAAATATTTATTCACTCATATCATTAACATATGTAACAATCAATAACACACACATAACATGTCAAACATATGCTCATATTAATGAATTCATGCATTCTACTATAGGAAATAGATTTGTCACAAGTCCTATTTCCATTAATACATAATACACTATCTAATGTGCACTCACCTTGGCCTCACTACGTTCCAATACACTTTATGATTTTCCTCTCTTTCAATTGAATCTTAACTTTCCAATCGACCCGGACTTGTTCATGCTCGATATCTATATAATCATACATTGATACATATCAGTATCCAATTTATATACACTAATCTATCATTTCTTAGACCAAAAGAAATCTGTATTTCAATTTCCCCTTGAAGTGCATCGATGCATTCTTTAACATGTGCATCGATGCACATTGAATGTGCATCGATACACCTTGCCCAGAATTTGCATTTTAAGCTCGAAAATCCATTTAATTCAACTCAAATGCTTCATATTTCATCCCCTTTCATATTTCTAACTTACATATACATATTTGCACTCATTTCTACTCAATAATCACTTATTTAACCTCCATATCCTATTCTCCTTAAGAAATTCAAGAATCATACCCAAATTTTAACATGTTACAAATCCAATTCTAACACTTCAAACATGTTAATTAGATTGATGACAAGTCAAATTTACTCTAAAATCTCATTAAAGAACCCTCTTTCAAGATTTCACTTATTCCTCTCTTTTCTATAATTCCCTCTATTCTCTTCATCTTATTGTTTCAAGATAATTTAAGCTTTTCTTATGATTAATTATCACCTAATAATCAAAACTCAGCCTTAAATTTCAGCTAATAATCAACAACAAGAAATCTTACATTTGCTTGAGCTCTCACGTGGAGGAGGAAGAAGAAGGGAGAAGAGTTTTCCAGATAACTCTCCCCACAAGCTTATCTTTTAATAAAGAGATAAGATAATTATCTTTAGATAACAAATACCATTTTTCCCTTAATCTCATTTAATAATTACTAATAACTTTCAAGAAATATCTCCACATAAATCATTAAACTATTTAATTTTTCTACTTTTATCCTCAAATTCTAAAATTTTACAATTTAGTCACTAACCCGGTATTGAGGACGTTACACTCCCTGTGGTTTCATACTAGATTAAAACCATTTGAAATTCAATAAGATGCTTCTGCAGATTTTCACTATGTAATCCATGGAAAGTAGGTAAAAGATGGATTAAGCCAGTTTTGAGCTCAAATAGTATTTTTCCATTTGGGAAGGTGACGCATAGTGGTTGTTGTTCGGTAGGTGCTACGGCTAATTCACGGATAGTTGGATCAGCCATAAGAATTGGTTTATTATCGTCGAACTCGGAGTGTGCTTCGGAGGTCACGTCGGTGTTGAATGTTGCGTCAGGTATGGGTTCTTGTTGTCTTCGAATTCTCTTCTCCCGACGTGTTTATGCGTTAAGTCTTTAGGTGTATTCTTCGATCTCAGGTTCAAATTCAACTAGTTCACTCGAATTCTTCTTGATCATAAATAAATAAAAAATTAATAATTTTGCCGAAGTTTCCAGTAACTGTGCCAACTTGACAAGCGTCGTAATTTTCAAATAAAAAAATCTAATTCCCAATTAAATAAATAAAATAAAATTGAAATAGAATGGTATAGTATAGAGAAATAGGGTTGATCCACAAGGACTAAAGAATTTCAATTAAATCTGACTTGATCTCTAACCAGAAAAACTACAAAATAAAATTAAAAAAGAGGTTAATTGAATTTAATTGAATAAACTAAAATTAAATAAAAATAACAAAGCAATAAAAATAAATAATTGAAAGATATGATAGGAGATAGTCTTTAGCTTCGCTTTGACTCGACTCATCTAGATCCTTGAAATAGATTTTACTTCGAAATCTTGCCGGTTACAATCTAAAAGGCTCAACCCTTGTTACTTACTTTTCTCTCGTGTGAATTAATCCCCAGAATCAATGCTTGAAAATTAATCCTTGTTTGGATTTGAATTCGACTATCGTTGTTAACGCCAATATCTTCTTTAATGTTGGAAAAGTCCGTGCTTGGATTATGCGTCTCAATGAGAATCAAACCTGATCTTGATTTCCTTTAGCGGACCACCGCTAAGTTTGTTCTTAGGGATTTGAATTTGATACAAGCTAACTCTCCTCCCCAACAGTAATTCAAAACAATCTTCCAAACCAACGTCGACTTTTTGAATTGAAAGTGAAAAGAATTTAAAAGTTAAGTCGATTACCTAACCTTGTTTGCCAAAAATCAAGAAAGCACTTTGAAGATGTGAAGTACGTTTTCAATTCTCACGAAATGGATTGAGTCGTCACTCAACTATCGGCTAAAAGAGGTTTACCTAAGCATGGACTGGATCATGCTTAACGTTATGAAAAGAAAATAATAAAAAAATATAACTTCAATAAATAGCCAAGGAAATATAAATTCCAATATGAGTTCAAAGGTTGAACCTAAGGGGTATTTATAACCTAAAAGTTCTAAGTAAATAAAATGACTAATTCCTAATCAAACTAAAAATCCTACCAAGAGTTCTAAAAAAATAACTAATTCCTAAATAAAATAATAATAAAATAATCAAACTGAAAATCATAAATAAAAAGGTTTATAACAAAAGATAAAAACAAATATTTAAATCTTGTACTTCTGGTTGAATTCTGCTTCATCTTATGGATAACATTATGTCATGTAAATTCCAATTAAATATTCAGTATGCTGAGTAGACTAAATCTGCTACTTTTTGGACTAATTAATCCAATAAAATTTTTGTCTAAAAAACTCAAAATAAAGATAAATCAATAATATCCAATCGAAAAATAAAAGTAAATAACAATAAATATATACAATATAAAACGTCTCGAATAATTGTGCACAAACATGTTAATAGTTTGGCAGTGCGGATCCCTGCCCGTTCTATTGCGAAACTTACTCCAACGGTATAGTATCATCATTTAACCGCTCAAACATTATAGATACATCAAAGGCCATCTGCAATCATTTTAAGGCAACTTCGAATATACTGCAATTTTTTAATATGTTCGTGTTAACTCTTACATTTTTTAGTTTATCTTTTATTTAGTTACAATACAAATCGAAGAGAGGAATTTCACTAACAACATTTGAATTATGATCTATGGGATGCCATCAAAGTATCTTCATTCCTGTCCTCTTATCCTGTTGGTGTGTTTATCCTTTTTACACCAATGCTTCGGTTTCTTTCGTTCTTACCATATCTTTATGCTCATTAAAACTAGGGTAAAGTACACAAATGGTCCCTCGACTATAGAGTGATGCTTTGTTAAGTCCCTCGACTATTAAAAGTTAAAAAATGGTCCTTCAACTATAGGGTATTGCTTTGTTAAGTTCTCCGATTATTAAAAGTTACAAAATGGTCACCCGATTATTTAGTATATTTAAACTCGTCTTTTACCGTTAAAAAATTGACAGCAGTCTGAACTGGATGTTAACGTGATGATTGAGAGATATAATAAAATTTGATCCCAAAATATAAAAAAAAAATATCATATCTCAATCAACATGTTAACATTCAACTTAGACTGTTGTCAAATTTTTAATGAAAAATGATGAGTTTGGAAAATACTAAATAGTTGGGTGATTATTTTATAAGTTTTAATAGTCGAGTGACTCAACAAAGCAACAACCAATAGGTGAAGGATCATTTTATAACTTTTAATAGTTGAGGGACACAACAAAGATCATCCTATAGCCGAGGGACTATTTGTGTACTTTACCCTTGACACTAAAACAAAGAAACATGACTTAGGAGCTCAGACCCTTTGAAGAGCCTCCATGGTTCCTTCAGGTTTCTCCTCATCTGGTACAATTTTATCTTTCATTTCACTTTTCTTAGACTTGTCATCATTGGTTACAAAATCAGCTAACTTGGCTAGTTCTTCCACAGAACCAACAAGGGCTTCAGTCCGCACCGCAATTTCGATTAGTACAGAAGCCAAAGTCACCACTGGTATGATTTCCATGAAAGGGACTGAACCAATTGCCTTCAAGAATGGTGTCTCATGTTCTTTGTTTTCCACGGTTGTCGACGGATCCAGCAAATGAGAAAGCGATTTTAAGTCATTCTGGAGTTCTTCCACCGCTCTGTTCATTTCTCCGATACACGTATGTACGGTGGGTGACTTCATTTTCTTCACACTTTGGGCTAACTCTCTTATGGCACTTGATGAGCTAGAGCTCACTTTCAAGCAGCTAGTGCTGAGATGTTTCTTTATGGATTCAGCAGCCTGTTTATAGTATAAAACAAGTGATGCAGCCAGGATTAGTACTCTATTATGCCATAAGGGAATAAATAATCAGATCAAACAATTTGAACTTGGTTGACCTTATTTTCTTTGTTGATGCAACTGTTGAGAGCCTCTATACAATAAGCACAGCTGCGCATCGATGCCCCAATTTTCAGGTACTGTTTCCATGGGTGCCGGAAGTTGAACCGTCCATGGGAAGGCTCCCACCTAGCAAAATTTGCCTATAGGAAACGATGCCAATTTACAAATCAGATCAATGATTATAAGAGGTGAATAAAGAGATGGAGCAAAGCTTACCATAGAATCTTCTGATGCCTTGGAGCTTAGCACGCACTTGTAACCTTGCAATCTTTTATCATCTTCTCCATTGATGTATGTAAAATAATGTGTTACACAACCTGAAACCGTGGTGAGAAGAAAGGTCTTAGCATGACTTGGAGGATCAAACTACGAGTACTATGGATTAGAGAGATAGAGAAAGAAGAACGTACTGTTGAGGGAATCGGCGAGTTTGTCCATGTTACGAACAGTCAATCCATGGAGCTCCTGGCCGCACCAAATGGGACAGACAAGAATAATCACAAGAATGCATAAGGAAGTTCCAATGAAAATGGTGGATATTCTTTGATGCGCAAAGTCAAATAACTTATCCACTCTATAGCCTGATACGACAACGAAGCTGAAGGTGAGGATGAAGACCATGGCACCATAATCAAAGAGGGACTTTACTGATGGAATGAATCTGGAGAAGGTTGCCATTGAAGCTGAAAAAATAATTGAAGATAGTAACACCAAGGTTTAGCACTAAATAAACACAAAGAAAGCAACTATATATGCTGATCACTAAATGTACATACCTAATAGGAAAACCGATGCTCCTACAACATAGGGCTCGAATCTGTCCCCGGATCGACTGGCAATCCAATGTACCCCTAAGGCAAGAAACCCAGCAACAAAAGTTGCAAATATTCTATTCAAACATTTGTATAAAGTGGCGCCTGTGATGAAGAAAAGTCGAGTTGTTCAGTTTAGAAAGCCTCAAGAGTAGTAGTTTTTAAAGAACTTGGAAATAAGTACTTACCGACGTTTGGTTCGAATACAAGTACGACTGTCATAAGAGCCCACATAGCATTGCCCCCGACGCCATCATACAAAGGCCTCATAAAGTAGAACAGTGATACCAGTGTGAGTGCCAGTCCTACCTTAAAGCAATGAATCACTTTTCTAGGATCATTAGCCCCAATTTCCCATGCTTTCTTAAGAAACATCCACACTTTCAAACCCAAACATGAAAATAAGTCTTTTGTTTTTACCCACACCTTTCTCGCAAGCCCTGTATCCGTAACCGGAACCTCAGATGAACCATCAGCCACTCTTATCCTCCATTCAACTCCTTCAAATGCATCCTTCTCAGGTGCCATGCTTTTTTACTCGCAATAAATTTCGAAACGAGACAAGTTGAGAATGATTATTGATAATGTTGACAGTAGGAAGGAAAGACTGTAAGGCATTCAAAGGTGAGGCTGAGGCATTGCTTATCACAATTAGTATGACTGTTGGATAATATATAAAGGGAGACATATTGAACCCGGAATTGCTGATGTTTACAAGAAAGTGGAATTTTAAACAAATTCCAATTGCATGGGGGATTCAAGGGGCAATTTCTTACCTTTTTTTTAGGTATTAAGGCCGTGATGTGGACACAAGTGTGTGTAGTGTGGGAAAAAGGTAACCTCCCTCTTACAGTTTTTAACTATGTTCCAATCATACATATATTTTAGGGTAAAGTACACAAATAGTCCCTCGACTATAGGGTGATGCTTTGTTAAGTCCCTCGACTATTAAAAGATATAAAGTGGTCCTTCGACTATAGGATGTTGTTTTATTGAGTCCCCGACCATTAAAAGTTACAAAATAGTCACCTGACTATTTATTATGTTCCAAACTCGTCCTTTTCTGTTAAAAAATTAACAATAGTCTGAGTTTGATGTTAACCTATTGATTGAGATATGATAGTTTTTTTAGATTATGAAATCATATTTTTATTATATTTTGATCATCATGTTTACATCTAGCTCAAATTATTGTCAATTCCATAACGAAAAAGGATGAGTTTGGAACAGACTAAATAGTCGGGTAATCATTTTGTAACTTTTAATTGTAGGAGGGCTGAACAAAGCAACATCCTATAGTCGAAGGACCATTTTGTAACTTTTAATAGTCGAGTGACTCAACAAAACATCACCCTATAGCCGAGGGACCATTTGTATACTTTACCCTATATTTTATACCATTGAGTTTTCCTTTCTATTTTAAATGATTTAATAACCACAAATGCAATCGTCACCAAGCAACATTCACGCGGAAAAATATCAATGAAGCATATCTCTAGGAGGTGGAACAACCTCAATAGATTTACTTGGTTTAAATATGAATTAAGAATTTGCAGCAGTCTGAAGGTTAACTATCAAGGTGGAATCTTCCATTTTGCTTATAGTGCAAACTCTGCAATGATTTTAGCACTTTTGGAGATCTCAATCTATATGAACAAAACAAATCTTTTGATGACTTAAAACAAAATTTATCTAAGGATGCTGTTGAAATAATTTGACCTGAATTGAAAAGCTAAAATGTCAGCCCACCAAGATTAGGTCATAAAGAAAATACTACAATTTTGGCTGATTCTGTAACAGTTCTTTTGAGTGGATCTCTGAATGGATTCCTCTCTAATATGTACCTTCCAGATAAGAAAATTAGGAAACAGCACCAAATTTTAGTTAAAGCATTTCAATATCTCTGAATGGATTCAATTTTCTTACACATTATCTAATGTGTCATCCCCTAGGCAAAGTAGGTATTGACAAAGACCAGAAAGATTCCCATTTTCAAATAGGGTAAATTAAAATTTTGGTAATTGAACTTTACTCTCTCTCTTATTTCACTCTCTGTACTTTAAATCTTTTCAATTTTCTCACTGAACTTAATATATTGGGTTTTATTGGCCAGTCATCCGTTTTCTCACTAATGACGTTATAAATAGACTGTTATATGACGCAAAACAACGTCGTTTTGGTGAAACTTGTATTTTTTTTAAAAACAGATTCGTTTTAACGTCGTTGACTATTTAATGGCGGAGTGACAAAAAAAACTCAATGTATTAAGTTCATTGAGAAAATTGAAAATTTTTAAAGTTCAATGAGAAAAATAGGATAGAGAGTAAAGTACATTGATGAAATTTGTAATTTACCCTTTCAAATAAGTGGTATTGTGGGATGTTAAACACATTGGCTTGTGCTAATTTCACTTGAATGGAGAGAGCACTTATCTCCTGATGTTGGAACCTTCCAGCAGCAGCTGGCATTGATTTGAAAGGTTAATCCAGCTATCAGAATTTACATTATATTCAACAAAGGTCTACTTTTTTGGTAGTTGAACTAACTTTATAGTTTTCGAAAAAGCTAGTGTTTTAAGCATTTGACATGACAGAAGAAGAAAGCGAACCCAAATTTGCTTTAACAGTTTTTGTTTTGGAATTGGGTAATGGGTGGACATAAAAGAGGAAGACTTTCTTGGTGTTGCTTCGTTGAATGGTTTTGGTATTGTATTTTTGTAGTTATGGAGACAATTGTTGAGGTATGTTGTTTGTATTGTCCTGGTTGTATGTACTCTTTTTTCCATTTAGAATTATGAAAGTTTTTAATAAAGCATACGTCGGATAAGACTTGTTCGATTATTCTAATGAAATCATCTCGTCGAGAAAAAAAAAAACTCAAATTTGCTTTTCAAGAATATGTAAGTGCAACCATGGTTTCCCTTTGTCTTCTTTCATCAAGCAAAGAAGTTTTCAAATGCTTTGCTTCCATTAGTTCCAGTATAAACATGTTAATCGGAAGGTAAATTTCAAGTGATTTTTTTATACTTGAGTGGTGAAACATTTTGAAAGACAAAGCAAGCTAATTATATTGATTGTTATGCTAACCAAACAACGAGTCCAAGAAAAAAAATAATTGCAGGTTGCCAACAAATGCGTCATCTGCTTTGGATTATAAATCAAAGTATAGTAGGAGGGGTGTGAAAATCGTTTTTAGGTGGTTCAAAAATAGTTGTAAAGGATATATGTGTTTTGAAAATGGGAGTCGTTATCGATCATTTTGGGATAGGGATGACCGAATACCTTCAAAATAGGTATGCATTTTAAACCAAATAAAATAAGGTTCGATAGTCGGTTACATGTGACGAAGGTTAGAGCACCACACAACACCCTGAAAATTGATACCTTTAGAAAATACATGATGTTAAATTTTTGAACAATTATAAATACGAATTTAGCCTAATTTTAATCTCATATATAAATATAAATTTTAAGGGTAAACTGCTAGAATGATCACTTACATTTTATATTTATACCCCGTCCCTTTTTTTTTTTTTGAATATGCTTCTCATTCAACTGGAAAATTGATAAGCCTCAATATAAAGGTAAAAACTGAAATTAAAAAAATTAAGGCCTAAATTTTAAAGTTAAAATGCAAGATTGAAAAAATTAAGAGCCTCAATTATAAAATGAAATGTGGGATTACAAAAATTAAGAATCTCAATTATAAAGGTAGAAAAATAAATTGAAAAAAATTTAAAAAAACTCGATTGTAAAGATAAAAGGTGTGATTGAAAAATTAGAGACCCTGAATAATCGCTCAAGGTGCTCCCTTGTTAGCTGGCTTTGAAAGTATATAAGAAGGGTTAAGGAAAATTAAAACTAATTGAAGAGGCCAAAACACGCCACTAATATAATATATTGAAATACACCACTAACTAAATTGTCATTATTAAGTAAACAATTAAATATTCAAGGACCACTCCATGATTAATCCACTAATTTTGTAGGATAAAATTTTTAAATGGTCACTAAATTATGTTAAAATAATCTTTTTAGATATTAAACTTTCAAAAGTTATATGATATATTAAACTTTAATTTTTTATAAAATAGATACGTCAATTTTAACTGTCATTAAAGGGGTTAAGTGACATATTAAATTAATAAAATAATCTCATTTACCCCTAAATTTTAAATAAAGTTTCATTTTTGGGATGAGTCTAGAGCGCACATCGCACATCGAAACACACCACAATGTGACACACCGATGCAAACCACTAATTAAATTGTACTTATTAATTAAATATGAAAAATATAATGACCTATCCACAATTAATCTTTTATTATTATTTAATTTAATTTTTATAGGAATATAATTAAATAATATTTTTATTAAAAATTATAATTATTTTAGAAATTTTTATTTATTTAAGATTATAACACTTATTTAAATTTACAAAATCATCCGGACAGCAACGGCACCAAAAAATTGCATTCTTCACCATACACGGAATGTAATAAAAATTCTATCAACGATAATTACATAAAATCAACCAAATTCTCCCAAGAGAAAACACATCTCCCAAACAAGTTGAGATTCTGTTTAAGCCAGCTCGAGTGCTTCTTCAAGTCTTCTCTTTATCTGATATTTTACCATTCTGTCTTTGTTTTAATGATAATGATGAGTTATTTTTAATGCGAACTTGCATTACTAGGATTCTTTCGTTTCTAACATTATTCTCTCTTTCTTTTTCATTTTTCAGTACTTTAATGATGTTTCTGCTGTTTTTCATCTCGCCTGCATGCGAGATGTTATGAACAAGTTTTGTGGTGATTCTAATAAAATTAATCCATTGGTAAGTTAGATACTTAGTTTTATGGGTCATATTGAACTAACTAAAGTCGCACTTTATTTTGAATTGTTGATTTTTTTAACTTGGAGAACAATTCTAATCATCGGTTTATTTTGAATTTTTTTATATTTGTTGGTTCTTGTAGATCTTGTTATTGATCACTTAGTTCAGATTGATGTAGCAAGGTTGGAAAATATTTGTGCAGACAAACATGAAACTTGAATTCCAAAGGAACTAAGAAACATTTGCTTCTCTCAAGTGGGGTTGTAGTGCATTTGATAACATGCTTGTTGTCCCTCCTAGGTCAAGTATAGTACATCAAGTGCAAAGCATTTTTAAAGCTACATTAAGAGATCATAATAAGTTTTTTATTGGCTGTAAATAAATAAATGCTACCATTCTTGCAAAAGATTTGTTGTTGTGTCAAGGAAGAGGGAAAGGAATTGCATACTGCTACTGCCAAGTTTTTTTTAGCATGGAAAGAGAATACATGAGTTTGCCAACATTTTTGTGCCCTCAAATAAGTTTCTGTTATCTTGGTTAACGGGTCAATTTAGAATATCTTGAAAGAGTTGCTTTCAACACAAATGGCGTGCTTTACCCTGATAACGTTGTTGGAACAGATTCTCATACAACTATGATTGATGGATTGGGTGTTGCTGGCTGGGGCGTTGGTGGTGGTATAGAAGCCGAAGCTGCAATACTTGGCCAGGTTAATTACATACTCCACTTATTAATAGGTTGCGAGTTAAGTCTTTTTCAAGTTTTATGTTTGGGTTGAGATAGGTTGGTTTGTAGACTCAGTATTGTATGTAAGGGTGTGCA